TGTATACTACTGTGTGGACTGTACCGTGAGGTGGTATATACTGTATACTACTGTGTAGACTGTACCATGAGGTGGTATATACTGTATACTACTGTGTGGACTGTACCGTGAGGTGGTATATACTGTATACTACTGTGTAGACTGTACCATGAGGTGGTATATACTGTATACTACTGTGTGGACTGTACCGTGAGGTGGTATATACAGTATACTACTGTGTGGGTATATACTGTATACTACTGTGTGGACTGTACCGTGAGGTGGTATATACTGTATACTACTGTGTGGGTATATTGTGTGGTATATACTGTATACTACTGTGTGGGTATATACTGTATACTACTGTGTGGACTGTACTGTGAGGTGGTATATACTGTATACTACTGTGTGGGTATATTGTGTGGTATATACTGTATACCACTGTGAGGAATATACTGTGGGGCCCCAGTAAAGCGGAAAGTCTACAGAGGAACAGAGTCTTGCTCTCTTTTCTCAGTTCCCCTCCCGGGCTTTCTTTTCCAACTCCTGCAGAAAGTCAGGATGACACATTTATCACACTGGCATTATTCCCATGGCAACTGGCTGTGATAGCAGACTGACAGCTCTTTAGCGAGATCAAGGAGTGAAGGGGGAGCGAGTGCTGACTTTGAGGTTCCTCTTAAACCTCCCCGAAGCCTAAGCAGATGCGGGGGGGGGGGGGGGGAAGGAAAATTCCCTAGAAATATCACACTTGACAACTCGATTCCCACTTGTAATTCCTTGCTGCTCTCGGGGGACCTTGTGTCCTCCCCCAGATATAACCAAGGCTTGCTCCCCAGAGGACAGAACACAGCTCTAGGAGGCAGAGGAAACTGTTTCTAGGAGGGACCCACATGCTGCCTTGTCAGGTCGAGAGGGCATTTTGGGGATCCCCACTCCAAGCCCAGAGGTGACCCAGCAAAAATGACCCAGTTTGAATCAAAGTCTGATCGAAGCCTTAAAACGAGAATGGTAAAGTATTTGCCTTGCCAGCATCAGGACCTGGGTGCCATCCTCAAAATCCACTTTGGTTTTTTGGGGGGAGGGGTGGCGTCAGACAGGGTTTCTCTGTGTAGCTTTGGAGCCTATCTTGGAACTCACTCTGTAGACCAGGCTGGCCTTGAACTCACAGAGATCTGCCTGACTCCCGAGGGCTGGGATTAACGGCGTGCCTCGCCACAGTCCCACCAGAGTTCACATTTTTTTTAATTAATTAATTTATTTATTAAAGATTTCTGTCTCTTCCCCGCCACCGCCTCCCATTCCCCCCCCCAATTAAGTCCCCCCCACTCAGCCCGAAAAGCAATCAGGGTTCCCTGTCCTGTGGGAAGTCCAAGGAACCCCCACCTCCATCCAGGTCTAGTAAGTTGAGCATCCAAACTGCCTAGGCTCCCACAAAGCCAGTGCAAGTCCAAATGGATTAAAGACCTCAATATCAGTCCGAACAGAGTTCACATTTTTAAAAAGGCCAGATGTAGAGCACACACTTGTAAGCCCCACACTCAGAGACTGGACACAGGCAGGTTTCCAGGCTCACTGGCTGGCTGCTGTGTGATTCCTCCTCCATATACACCTACAAACATGAACTGTGTACCTTTTATTATTTAAAAAATATTTAATATGGCTATGTATGTGCGCATGCATGTCTGAGTGAGTATGTACATGTATGGGTATGTGTGGCCAGAAAGACTGCAGCTGGAGTTACAGGCAGCTGTGAGCACCCAGTGTGAGCACTAGGATGCAGGTTTGTCTTCTGGAAGAGCGTCAGTGCTCGTAACTGCTGAGCCATCTCTCCAGCTCCACACGTAGGGTTTACATGATGATGACATCACACAACATATCCTTCATCCGTGGGATAAACACCCACATCAGCGATTCAGACAGGAACAGAAGAGGGACCCCTACCGCCCTTCAGAATGGGAACCTGAGCAGGCCTGCTCCTGTAGACTAGGAAGATAGGCCAGAAAGTGGTCCCTGACTACAGAGCCTGGGAAGCGCGTGCTCTTGGCAGATGAGCACGAGAAAGTCCTTTCCCACACTGTAACCTCCCCGAGGCTTGCCAGTTTTATTTATGACTGCCAATCTTGTAACAACTGCTGCTTGTTCAAGGGACTAAGCTCGGGTTTTTACCCAACAAGCACTTTACCCATCACCTCTCGAGTCCTGAAGATCTCTTCAGTCAGGCTAGCAACCTTTCATGTGTCGTGTAACACACCTAACACACGTACTCATGCCTTCTTTGCCCGTTTACCTTTAGGGCTGTGTCTCATTTAGGGTTTACACTGCTGTGATGAAGACTGTGACCAAAGCAGACACTGAGGAGGAGTGCTGCCTACTGGCTTGCGCTGTCTGCTTTCTCTGCATCCAGGACCAGCAATCCAGGGTGGCACCATTCACACCGAGCTAGGGCTCCCACATCAGCTATCAGTTAAGAAAATGCATCTCAAGCTTGCCCGCAGGCCAGCCTGCTGACGGTGCTTTCTCGCTTGAGGCTCTGGCTTCCCTGAATGACTTTAACGGTATGTCAAGTTGACATAAAACTCGCTGGCACAGTCCCTTTGCTCTTTATTCTTAGGGTCATGGCATCCTCTTCCCCTCTGCAGCCTTTCCTGTAAGGTCGTGAACTAATGTTTTTCTTAGATGACAAGACGGCTCAACTGTTGAAGACACTTGAAGTCCTAAGTTCCACTCCCTGGGACACGCGGTGGGAGGGGAGACCCAACTTTCACAGGTTGTCCTCTGACCTCCATGTGCTCACCACTGTGCATATCATCAGGCCCCCACACATCATACAAAGATGCATACAAAAAATAAGTAAAAGAGTCTTTTCGAGACAGGGTCTCACTATGTAGCTCTGGCTGTCCTGAAACTCACTCTGTAGACCAGGCTGGTCACCAACTCACAGAGATCCACCTGCCTCTGCCTCCCAAGTGTTTGAATTAAAGGCGTGTGTCACCACACCCAGAAAGTAAAAATACTTTAATTTTACTTTTATATTGTAACAATTCATCTCGAATTTTTTGTTAAATAGAGACAGAGTTAGAGATTTGAAATTTGTTTCCTAGAAACTCACATAGTTTTTGGCTAATTCATTTCTTCCCTGTTTATTGCGAGATGCCAACTTTTATTACCTCATAGTCTGGTTATAGTTTGCATTGGATTTTACAGTGTTTTACTGAGTTACCTGTCCAGTCCCACCTCAACACCAGTCTGTGATGTTCATTTCAGTGTAGGCTTTCAAAGCCAGCCAGGCTTCCTCACATTCTAGAAGTCTCAATTAGACAAGTGCCACCTGCTATAAAAGCAGCATTTGACACACCAAGCATCAAGTTAAAAAATCATTTCTCACTGACATAAACATTCAATACCTATTTGAAGGATGACTTTTTTCCAAATAGCAAAAAACATTAATTTATTACGTATTCATTTACAGGCAGGCTCTCAGCAGATAGTCCAGATTGGTCTGGAACTTGCTATGTAACCCAGGATGACCTGAAATGCATGGCCCCCAGCCTCAGCCTCCCTGTGCCAGGATTAAAGGCACGCACCACCATACCCAGAAAGAGGTCATTGTAATTGTCCCAAATCTGATTTTACTTCCAGGGAACTTGATCATCGATGAAGTTACAGAAAATAATATAAGTATCAGAGAATATAATTCCTGTGCACAATTCACAGGGACAGAAAAATGTTTTTGAATCTCAAGTAACAATAAATCTACTGTATTCATAATAGGAACGGGCACTTTTATTGTGTAGACTTAACACAGAGATCAGATTTACGATTTCATAACCTGCCATTTATTTACATGCATGTGTGTGCGCGCGTGTGTGTTTGTGTGTATGCAAGTCTTCACAGACGCAAGAGTCTGTGTGTGCAGAGGCCAAAAGACGACATCAGTAGTCCTGATTACCATCTTATTCTTTTGAGGCAGCATCTCTCACCAAACCTGTATCTAAGCTGGCAACCAGCAAGCCCTAGAGACCTTCCCAGCTCCATCTCCCTCATTGCTGTGGTTACGGGTACATATATGACCACACTCAGTTTTTTTTACAGGGGTCTTGGGAATCAAATTCAGGTTCTTACGCTTGCACAGCAAGCTCACCTACCTACTGAGCAATCTCCCCAACCCTTTGACCTATTATTTTAAATCCTATTTCGAGGGAAAGACCACTGCCAGGAATTCACATAAACCACGTGAATCCTTTAAGGTGAATTCCTGCCACGTGGTGGAAGTGACAACAGAAACTGTTGTCCAAAACAACAACGAAACCGTACGGCCTCCCAGTGTGGCCCTCACTGCCCATGCCTCTTACCCACTGTACCTGGGGACTTCTGGAGGAAGTGGGCACCGGGACGCTATCCTGCTCTCTAACCACAGAGGTGTGTCACAGGCAGCAGGTGCCTTCTGCTCAGAACTCCTGCTCCTACTCATGCACATACTGAAGGCGTAAGAAGAAGAACACTGACACCTAATGGCCAGGAGATGGGCCACACCGCACTTCTCTCAAGTAGAACTGAATGCACATCTAGGTGGAAAGGCTACACCAGGTAATTTTCCCACTGTACACACCAGGCGGATAGTCTAAATTCCACAGCTTGCGCACTGAGTCTTGAGCGAGTGTCAGAAGTTGCACTGCGCGTTGTACAAACAACATCTCATTTCATTATTCTACAATAGTTCCACCAGGCCATTTCTCTCCAACAGCGCTGACGACAGTCAGCAGTTACTGTACTAAGAGCCTGCCAATCATTTAAAATGACCCTCACCAGAGTTCCGAGGGAACCTGAAAAGAACCATTTGCGTTCTGCACATCTGCAGACGAATTGTAGTGCCCTCGCCTCGGTCAAACGGTCAGAGCGCACGCAGCTCTCTCAGCACGGGGAGGGGGTGTTGCTTTGGGAGGATTTTCCAGATTCTATCACCCTCACACACAGGCCAGGAAACCCAGTGCCCCTCCCTCCACCCCAGCCCGTCTCACCTATCCCCGAGTCCTTCAGCGTTCTGTCTTCCTTCAGTAGGAGTGTGTCGTCGTCCTCCAGACCCAACACCAACTCATTCGTCTAGAGAGAAAGAATCCCCACTTGGTCAGCACACTTGGCCAAGATGTCCTGAAGACCTGAGAGTGGTACTTGGAGGGGCTGAGGAACAGCTCAGTCAGCAAAGTGTTCACCCCGCAAGTACGAGGGCCTGCGGTTTGGGGCCCCATGCCATGTAATCCCAGTGATGGGGAGGTGGAGACAGGAGGATCCCTGGAGGTCACTGGACAGTCAACCTAATCAAACAGCAAGTCCCAGGCGCAATGAGAGACCCTGTCTCAAGAAGGAATGCGGATGGGGCTGGAGAGACGGTCCAGGAGTTAGAGCTTGTTGCGCTATCATGAAGACTGGAGTTTAGATCCCAGCGCCACGTCAGGCAGCTCACAAAAGCAGTAACTCTAGCTCCAAAGGATCCAAGACTCTCTTCTGGACTCTACAGCCACCCTCCCACACACTCACACGGACACACACAAATAACAAAGAAAGAAATAGTTTAAAAAGTAAAGTGGACAACAATAGAGGAAGACATCCAACATCAACTTCTGGCTTCCATATTGCACGCACCCAGCATGAACATGTGTACACACCCTTGAACATGCACATACCACATACACACACACGCACACTAATCTAAGTCATGTGACATTCTACTGTGGTAAAGAGACAACAGAGAGGATGCAGAATATAGACCTATTAAGTGCCAGCCCTGTAAGCTACACTAAAGACAGTGCTACAAGCAGGCTTTGGGAACAAGCTGGGATTCTAACACGGGTTCCCTGGGTGCCCAGCTTTGTGCACTCAACACTGAAAACTTCTCCAAGCTTCAGTTACTTTGCAGCTACAGCGGGGGAAGTGAGTGCAGCTTCGCCCTTTCCTGGCGTTAAGGAGGATGCGCGATGGCCCATCCAGACCCTCAGTACTGAGTACACCCTCTACGTCTGCTGTCACCCTGTTGCAAGAACCTGCGAAGAATTGCAAAAATGCAGGCCTGGGGCATGTGGCTCATCAGAGACGGAACTGAGGACACATTCTTGACAATGTGACATCTGAGAGAAGCCACGGTGGCCTTAAGTGGCCCCAAGGGCACATATCTAAAAACCATGCCCAAGCTGACAAAAATTTCAGACTGTGTCTCATTTGCTGGTGTATTTCTAAGTGATTTGGAGAGGTGGTGAATTCTGTTCTCCAGAGATATCTGCAAATCTGGATGGACATCACTGGAGACAATCTGGGGTTGTTGTCTCCCCTGACTAACACCTGGAAGTTTCTGCAGATGGGGCACACAGTCCCACAGCCAACCAGAATTCAGCCGTTTAGTAGTCTATTCTAGTTCTACGTATGTGTGTGCATGTGAGTGCATGGGTACGTGTGTAATGGAGTCAGTGCTGAGTGGCTTGCTCAATCTCCACTCCACTGTATTGTTTACAACAGGGTCTCTGGTAGTTTGAAAGAAAATAGCCCCCAAATGGGAGTGGCACTATCAGGAGGTGTGGCTTTGCTGGAGTGGGTGCTGCCTTGTTGGAGGAAGTGTGTCACTGTGGGAGCGGGCTTGTGCTCAGTTCACTTCCTCGCCAGCACCATGTCTGCCTGCACTGCACCATGCCACGTCCCACCATGATGACAATGGACTGAGAATGGCCGTGGTCATGGTGTCTCTTCACAGCACTAGAAACCCCAAGACAAGGTCTTTCACTGACCCTAGAACTCACTGATTAGTTGGACTAGCTGGCATGAGCCCTGGGGAGCTGTCTATTCTGCCTCCCCAGTGCTGACAATAGTGCTTGTCACCATACCTAGCTTTTTACGTGAGTTCCGGGGACCCGAGCCCCCGGTCCTCATGCTTGCCAGGCAAACACTTTTCTGCTGAAAGCACTGCCCAAGCCCCGCCTGCCCTGTTTCTAGAATATACGTGAGACAGACTCAACAGAAAGGCTTCCCCACAAGCCACAAGCCAGAGACCATGTTCCATGTTCCATGGATCATGAACTTCACTCAGTACCGATGAGGGCCCTGAACTCCAGAGTACAATCACTGAAAAAAAAATTCAATGCTTTCTTTAAAAGTTCTTTTAGAGCCGGGCGGTGGTGGCGCACGCCTTTAATCCCAGCACTCGGGAGGCAGAGGCAGGCAGGTCTCTGTGAGTTCGAGACCAGCCTGGTCTACAGAGCTAGTTCCAGGACAGGCTCCAAAAACCACAGAGAAACCCTGCCTCGAAAAACAAAACAAATAAACAAAAAAACACAAAAATAAAAGTTCTTTTAGAACACAGAATCGAAATACAAAATTCTCCAAGAACATAGAGAATGAAAATTGCAAAATCTCCTACCCCTATGCCCCAGCTACTGACCTGTCCTCTGCAGAAACTGCACCTGGCCATGTGTTTCCTGACACCATCGATGCATGTCACACATGTGGAGATAGATGTGCAAACACAAATGTAACATGTACTGTCTTCCAAAGTCTTACATTTTTTTCTCTCTTAAAAATATGGCTGTAGGGCAGGAGAGATGGCTCACTGAGTAAGAGCATGTTCTGTGCAAGCATTAGGATTTAAGTTCAAATCCCCAGTGCCTTCAAAAAGCAGAGGGTGCCTGTGACTTCAGCGCTATATGGAGGGTAGACAGGAGTTGCTGGGGCTTACTGGCTGCCAGTCGAATTCTAGGCTTGGTGAGAGATCTTGTGTCAGGGGAGTGTGGTGGAGAGGGACAGAGCAGGAGACGCAACACCCTCTGCCGGCCACTGTACATACACATACACACACGCACATGCACATGTGCACATGGGGGTGCTGAGTTCCAGCATCCGTGGCTCTGCTTATTATAAATGCCATGCTTCCCCTCCATTTAGGATTATGTCCTAAAACACAGGATATAAGACAATAAAGAAATAAATAACTCTCTCTCTTAAGCCACTGTTGTCAGATAGTCTGCCCCATCAGAGAGAAATGTAACTAATAAAACAGAAAACAAAACCATACCTTGTCTTCCCTACTGTTTAGAAATCAGAATGAAAACACCCCACGGATGAAGCCTGTGGGCAGACTGTGGTGGAGCATCTTGGTACCCATAAAAGAGCAGGTGCCGCACTGCAGCCTCAGACTTCAATGTGTCAGCCCAACATTTTAAGACACTGTCAAATTTTCATATGCAATAAATGTCACTAAGTCCCTAACCTGAAGCCGACTGACACTCTCAGCCACTTGCTCTGTGTCGCCTGTGACACATTCATCTGAAAGCTTGAGTTTACAACTGTGCCAATGACTTGAAACAAGAATAAAAAGAAATCAATTCATCAATAAATAGTTCACTCAAAACTTGTTAGGGAGAGCCAGTGAGACGGCTCAGAAGTAAAGGCACCTGAGGCCCAGCCTGAAGACCTAGATCTTGTAACTAACACGGCAGGAGGAGAGAACAGACTCCTGGGAGTTGCCCTCTGACCTTCATACACGCACTACAACATGTACACACACACACGCACACACACACACACACGTAATAAATAAATAAAATGCAATAAAGATTTAAAAAATTATAACAATTCCTATGACTGAGACATTACACTAGATGGTAAGATATGAAGAGACATGAATAAAAAGGTATAACCCCTCAGGGCTGGGACGTGGTACAGTCAGTAAAGTGTCTGCCACACAGTGTGAGCACCTGAGTTCCAAAGCTGGCCATGAGGGTGCAATCCCAGTGTTGGCAACGTGGAGAAAAGATGGGGTTAAGCCAGCCAGGGTACTATATAATAAGACCCAGGTTCAATGTGAGATCCTGTCTAAAAGATAAGGTGGAAGCCAGGCATGGTGGCATTGGCATACGCCTTAAATCCCAGCACTCTCAAGGCACAGGCTGGCAGAGCTCAGTGAGTTTGAGACCAGCCTGGTCTACATAGCACAGTGAGTTCCAGGCATGCAGACCTACATAGGGAGACCCTGACTCAAAAAAAACAATAAAAAGTGGAGAGCAACTGAGGAAGTCATTCAGTGTTGACCCTGGTCTTTACAAGCATGAGCACACCTGGCTCCATACACACGTACAGATGGACAGGTACACACAAACACACACACACACCACACAAGTGTGTCCCTTATCCTTGAGCAGTTATGTAAGAGTGAGCTGACATTTTCAATGAGGAGTCTATGGAAGGCCACAGAGGATTAGGAGAAAAGACACTCACATCTGTGTGAGAAGGACACCTTTGGCAGCAGCAGCATCCAAACCTCACATGTATTCAAGAACATATGAACGAAAACACAGAACACATAAACACGCAGCTCTCTTAAGGTCAGGGACACCTTGAAAGTGTGGGCTGTGCCTCTGTGGAAGTATCCACCAGGGCTCTTGTGGCCTGTGCCCATACACAGAGCACCAGCGTTCGCTTCTGGGCATTTGTTTCTGCTACAGAATTAGAAAGAGATTCAGTTTCCAGATGCCAAGCAGATTCTTTACACAAGCTGGGTCTTTAGCATATCCTGTGCCTATTCTGTATAAATGTGTGGGAGTTCCCCCCACACACATTTTTTTTTGTTTTTTGTTTTTAAATTTTGTTTTGTTTTGTTGAGAACAGGTCTCTCTATATGCTCCCAGCTGTCCTAGAACTTGCTTTGCACACGAGGCTGGTGTTGTGGGACGATCTTTCTGTACACAGTGAAGATGTGCCTCTGCCTATAGTGGCTTCTGATTGGTTTAATAAAGAGCTGAATGGAGACAACAAGGTGGGAGAGACTAGGCGGGACTTCCAGGAACAGAGAGGAGCTCTGGATGAATCTAGGCACACAAGAATCTGGCAAGACACAAGAGTAGACGTACAGAGTGGAAGGGAGGTAAACAGTCACGTGGCAGAAGGTAGATCAATAGAAACATGGTAACTTAAGTTATGGAGTTAGGTGGGAATACACCTAGACTAAAGGCCAAGCTTTTATAATTATAATTTTATAGTAATTATAATTTTATAATCTGTGTCATGATTGGGGAGCTGGCAGTCCCAAAGAAAGTCTGACGAGAAAGTTTGCTACAGGCTGGCCTTGAACTCACTGAGATCTCTTTGCCTGTGCCTCCCAAGTGCTGGGATTAAAGGCATGTGCCACCATGTCTGGCTATTTCACACTTTATTTTAAAGATATGTTAGTAGCAAGTACACATGACTTAGCTTTTTAAACCTTTATATTACATTTTATTTACTGTGTGTATGATGTGTGGGTGTGCATCCCACAGCAGCGGTCAAAGGACAACTTCCACCATGTAGGTTCCAGGGATTGAATTCCAGTAGTCAGGTTTGGCAACAGGTGCCTTACCCTGAACAAGCTTGCTGGCCCTGAGTTGGCTTTTGTATGTGTGTGGGGTACGTGAACAAACATGTATTTGTATGTGTGCATGTAAATGCCAGATGTCCATATCAGCTATGTCTTCAATTGCTCTCTGCTATTCCTGTTGTTGTCGTTTCTTTCTTTGAGAATTCATGGAGACTCCTCAGGTCCACATAGAAAAGACAGACCTGGTCAGAAAGCACTGATGCCAGGAGCTACGGCTGGAGCTGAAACTGGGGGCTCTGGCTGGTAGCAGTATGAAACAGAGGGAGAAGCGGTGTCCTGTTCTTTCTGCTTATCCACGTCAGCAGAACTACCCTTCTCAAGAGCTGCCATGTCCTCATGGACCTACAAAAGTATCCTTCCACCACTCCCTCACTCACACACTCGAGAGCAAAGCACACTTGGCATCCATGATGTCAAACCTGTGACCCAGGCCAGTCTGGGCCTTGACACTGTACGTGGTGCTGCTCGGCCTGCACACAGATCACCGTGCCTTGACCAGGTCTCCACCAGCTACCACGGTGGAAGCTTGGTAATTAAAGCCAACCTTCAAGACAGCAGGTCACAGTCCACACGCAAAATGCTGGTTCACCTTGGTCTCTGCGGCATTGTCTTCCTGAACCTGGAGCTCACCAATTCAGCTAGGCTAACCTGGATCAAGGGACCCTTCTGTCTCCACCTTCCCAGTGCTGGGATTACAGGTGTACACCATGGTATCTGGCTTTCACCTGGGCACTGGGGAAACAAACTCAGTCCCCATGCCTGTAAGGTAAACACTATTGACTGAGCCACCTCCCAAAACTAATTCCTAGAATAGGAGAGATTTTAGACACACATGTCTATTTGCTTACTCCAGCTTCTAGCAACACTGGTGAAGCTGGTATAGCAGAAACCCCACCTATCAGAGACCCCGCCCACCAGAGACCCCACCCATCAGATGCCCTGTCCATCAGAAACACCACCCATCAGAAACCCCACCCACTGGATGCCCCACCCATCAGGAACTCTGCCCATCATATGCCCACCAATCAGAAACCCCGCCCATCAGAAACCCCACCACCAGAAACCCCGCCCACCATAAGCCCCACCCATCAGATGCCCCACCCACCCGAAGCCCATCCATGACACACCTTTGCTTTGTGAGCTTGATGAAGAATCTTTAGTGTATCTGAAAGAAAAAACAAACGAGTTCTTTGTTCACACAGATTTATCTAAAACCTCTGTTGTAATTATTAGATGCAGAAACTGGAAAAACTGAAAGCCTTTCTTTACAAACATACCTACTTAAAATCTGTCCTACTTTAAAAGAAAATGCACTTTAGCAAATTATGCAAAGTATAGGAGGTCAGAAGTGGAGCTCCGTGGTGGACTGCTCACATATGCAGATCCTGGAAGGAAGAAGGGGGGACCACGGGGAGAAAAGGGAGAGGAGGGAAAGGAAAAGAGAGGGAGAAAGAGGCAGAGGGAGGGAGAGAGATACACAAAGATACTTTAAATCGATAACCTTTTGACATTGATGTGAAATTGTCATCTACAAAGTTCAAAATCAAGAAGCCCTGAATTACCAAAAACAAATCACAGAACACTTGATAATGTTTTAAGTAAGGGTCACTTTTGTACTGGCTTCACGAGGCCTGTGGGTCAGGCGTGCCCATGAAGGTTCCAAGCTTAGACCTTTATGCAACAATGGGGCAGCGGAACCGGAAGTCTGAACAGCAAACATAAAACTCCATTATCTCTTCTAGAGTCACGAAAAGCTAAGAGTAAACTATATGTATATGTATGTATGTATATATATATATATATAAAATGAAGACACAAGGGACAGCCGAGCATTGTGAGGGCCCAGAGTTGTGAGCCAGTTCCACCTGACTGGAAGCCAAGAGTCCGAGCTTATTTTTCCTCTCTCAAAGTTGTTGACAACAGGTGTGGCTACAAACGAAAGATTCTGACTGACCTAGGGTGTGGTTAATTAGTATTTCAGGTATGGAGATGGATCCGCTCCACTTGAACCAAAAGCTGGAGAATTCAAGTCCATTCCTTATATCACGTTAACGAAGTCTGTCACCTCCTTCTCCCCTCTCAGAGTGAAATATGCAAGCGTGTGGAAGATAAACAAGGCAGAATGTCCCTTCCTATGCTGCTCTGCTTCTGTCTCTTATTTCTCTTATATCTCTGTTCCTTTTGCTTAATAATTCTAATTCTCATGCTCCTACCCTGGAACTTTTGAGTTTTGTCGAAGCTGGTCTTCAACAAGGGATGGTGGTATACATCTTTAATCTCTGCATTCAGGAGACAGAGACAGACAGATCTCTATGAGTTCCCAGCCAGTTTGATCTATAGAACAAGTTCTGGTCAAGGCTGCATGGTGGGACCCTGTCTTTAAAAAAAAAAAATACAAATGAAAAGTGGCTAAAAAAAAAAAATCACTATTCTCTTGAGGCAGTTATAAGGCCTGCAGGTCAAATAACTGGGCTGGAAAATTGCTGTTACCTCCAGAGTTTGCCAATGCCCAAAGACCACCAATATCTGTTATTCTTTTTGTGTGTACACGTGTGTGTAAGGTGTGTATGGGTGCATATATGTATACATGCATGTATGCACATATCTGTATGTGTGCACAAGCATATGCATGTATGCATTCACATGTGTGTATGAGTGCATGCACATGCTTGTAAATAGCATGCATGTTGTACATGCATGAACAAGGAGGTCAGAGGTTGATGTCAGGTGTCTTCCCCTATTGCTCTCCACCCAGTATTTAGAGACAGTCTTTCTCTGAACCTGTAAGTGTTGGAGCTCAGATGGAAAGGTATTTTGGCAGTCGGGAGCCAAGGAATACCACAAAGTCACTGTAAGTTTTGCAGCTTACAGCTCTGCTCCAGGGAAAGGTTTCCTCAGTGCAAATGTAACAACCCTGCTCCAGCGGGTGAGGGGGTGGGTGTCCCCAGTGAAGTTTTTACAGCTCTGCTCAGAGCTGGGCTTGGCTAGGCGAAAATTTCCCCAACAAAAGTGTTACAATTCTGCGCCACTTCAACTCCAGAGAAAGTTTAAAAAATGTTCTACATACATTTCTAATACAGCTGGGCTCTCTCAGGCAAAAGTGTCATACCACACAACAAACCTCGCTCAAAATTTATTGGGATGGAAAAGTCCAGGAGGGTGGTTGCCTGTAGCGGGAGAAGCAGCAGCAAATGAAGCAAAGTACAGAGCTTAGATAGGCTTTCTTGGAGGGGGGCGGAGAGGAGCTTTCCCAGAGTGGCTTGGGATTGGTGGGATTTCATCCTCAGGGATCTCAGGGATTGGTGGGATTCCATGCTGGGGGTGGGGGATACAGTGGATATGCAGGTTCTGTAGCCTGACTCTAGGGCAAGCTCAGGGACTGGGAGGGTTTCAAGACTTGGTCCTGGGGTCAAGTTAAGCTCAGGGTGTTTTTTCTCACCCTTTTCCCCCTACAGAACCTGGAATTCATATATTCCGCTCAGATCTTCCCATTTCTGCCTTGCCAGCATTAGCATTTCAGATGTGTGCCACCATGTTCACCTTATTATGTGGGTGCTGGGGGTCAAACTCAGACAGTTAGGCCTGCGAGACAAACACTTTACCCAGAGCCTACTCCATCTGAACCCAGCTCCACTCTGTAGCTACTTGTGCTGAAACCAGGCCATACTGAACTTTTGCCACAGACTATTTCTCTCCACTTGATGAACCTCGAACTCTGAATTCTCTGAATTCTCCGCTATCTGCATGTGGTTGAAGACGTGATCTCTTCCTGACCAGGTACCTGCTGGCATGCTTCTTCCACCATTATTACTCTCCATCTGGAACCACCGTGCATATAAGCTCTTACATTTAAAAACATTTACCCACCCCTCTAACTCTAAGACAATCAGTCCTTAGTTATACAGCAGACACAAGTATTCTGCATACTTGAATTCTAAAAGTTTCTGATTCTCTACTTCACTTTCTAAACCATTTAATTACTGTATTATGATCACAGTATATAGCTCTATCTGAAGAAGCTTTCAACAGTACACTAAGTTCTGTTCTACTGGCTATGCTGTAATAAAGAATCTATAACACTAAATTCCATTCTACTAGGTACACTGTGAAAAAGAATCTGTCTGAAAAGCAGGATCTATAGCACACCTCAGCATAGCTAGGTCATCATAAAGTCTGTCACTCAGTGGAGAATGGCACAGTACAAGGGCACTTGTGGCTCTTCTGCCTATCTCAGGCACCAAGCTGGGACATGGTGCACATAGACACTCATTGTCTTAGTTAGGTTTTATTGCTATGAAGAGACACCATGACTACAGCAACCCTTATAAATGAAAACATTTAACTGGGGTGGCTCACTTGGTACTGGAGGAACAGCTGAGAGTCCTACATCTTGCAGGCAACAGGAAGTCGACTGACTCACTGGGTGGTATTCCAAGCACAGGAAACCTCAAAGGCTGCCCCCCAGTGACACACTTCCTCTAACAAGGCCACACCTCCTAATAGTGCCACCCTTTGGGGGCCATTTTCTTTTAAACCACCACACTCTTACACTGAGAATGATTCACTATCTTCAACGGTCGTGTTGGGGAGAGTAAAGAGCTGGCTGTCCAAGCAAGAGAACCTGAGGCCCATTCCCAGAAGCCATGTCAAAAAGACAGGTTTTGTGGCACACATCTGTAATCCCAGCCCAGGGGTGGAGAACAGTGGAGCCCTGGAGTTCACTGGCCAGCCAAGTCCAGCCATGTAAGTGAGCTCCAGATTCAGTGAGAGATGCTGTCTCAAATACATAAACAAGGCAGATGGTGCTAGAGGAAAATACCAGATGTCAACACACACTTGCATATATGTACACTCCCCCCCACATATGTGCACCTACAAATACATACACAAGCATACAGGAGAGAAAGAAGATCCCCCTGGAACTGGAGTTAAGGATGGCTGTGAGCAGTCATGTCTGTGCTGGGAATTCTCCAACTCCTGAGAAACCCCTCCAGAATGCTCAGCAGGCTCTGCAAACCTACACTAGGGGAAGCTACCTTTTCTCAGCAGGACAAAGACACTGTGAGCTGAAATTTTCACCCAGACTTTTCTCTTCAACTGAAATTGGCAAAACCAAAGAAAGTAAAGAAAAAACGTCACTTCCTCTACAGTGAGAACATCACTCATTCTGACTTTGGGATGGTTTGTTTGATTGTTGCTTTTGCCTGGTTTTGATTTTTGTTTGTTTGTCTGTTTTTAACAGGGTCTCAAGTTGCCCGGGCTGGTTTTGAACTTGCTATGTGGCTAGTCTTGAACTCCTGGTCCTTCTGCTTCTAGCTCCCCAAGTGCTGGGTTACTGACATGCTTATTTTGACTTCTTTTTTTAAAAAAAAACTCACAAACCACTTTATTAACAAAAATATTTCCTTAATAAAAACTCCTTGAAAAGTAAGATTTTATAAACATATTATCCCAGGGCTAGGGAGAAGGCTTGAGGGTGTGCACGGCTCTTTTAGAGGAACCCAGGCTGGGTGGCTCACTATCACCTGTGACTTCACTTCAAGAGATCCAAAGCTCTCCTCTGGCCTCCACAGGAACACACACACAGAGACACATGTAAATAAAAATAAACCTTTAAAAACATATACAAATGGGGCTGTGAAGATGGCTCAGCCGTTAAGAGCATCTGCTGCTCTTGCAGAGGATTCAGGTTTGGTTCCAGCACACAGGTGCTGGCTCACAACTGTCAATAACCCCAGTTATGGGGATCTGGCACCTTCTTCTGGCTTCTGTGGACAGAGTTTACACATGGTAGACTTTTATACATACAGGCAAACATTTATATACATAAATCACTACAACAGAAAATGGGGTTCTAAATGTTGAAAATTTTAAAAGTAGTGATGTATATTTGTAGAGTATTTAACATGCTAGCCCATGCATTTCATACTGCACCAAAAAACACACCAGGCTAGCTGGGTGCACACCTTTAATCCCAGCACTCAGGAAGCACAGACATGCAGATCTCTGTTTGGGGCCAGCCTGGTCTACATAGAGAGTTCCAGGTCAGCCTGGGCTAGAGAGACTTGGTCTCAAAACAGACAAATGAACAAACAAACAATAAAATCTAAGGGACCACACACAAGGCTTAGCATTGTATACAGAAGTCAAGATGATTACTGTGTCCAGATCCATGGTAGCTGAGTCCCTGGGAAAAAAGGCTCAATCTACAGCTCTAGACTGTGTGTCCAAATGCAAGACAGTTGTGCCCCCGGGACAAATGGCTGGACCAACAGCTGTAGATGCCAATTAAACAGGAGGAGGGTCTCAGAAACCAGACACTGCTGGCTGTAGGAGCGGGCCCCTTACACAACAGCACAGAACCAAACAGCAGCAGAAGGGAAACCTACGCTGCCCCCCACTCCTCTCACACAGTGCACAGTTCTGTGCACGAGCCAGACAAGTACCGGACAACCATGGTAGGAGAAGCTGGCACCAAGCCGTTCCTAAGCCAGACAAAGCAGCGGGCTGTTTCTCAGCCAGACCAGAGTCATCTGGATGACGACATATTTCTACCCCAATGAGACTCAGAAACCTAGAGTCTCTGATGGTTACACTATCTTGTTTATATTGTGTGTGTGTGTTTGTGTGTGTGTGTGTGTGTGTGTGTGTGTGTGAAAGAGAGACACAGAGAGAGAGGAGGCCAGAGAAAGAGAACAATTTCAACTGTCCTTCCTTGGAAGCCATCCACCCTGTCACTTATTTATCTATTTACTTACTTATTTATTTTTGAGATAGAATTTCTTACCGGCCTAGAGCTCACTGGTTCCATTAGGCTGGTCTGGTGAGCAAGCCCCAAGAACACACCCGTCTCTACCTCCCCAGCTCTGGGACTATAAGTAAGTGCCATTGTTATAAGCATGTTTAATGAGGGTTTTGGGGACCTCATACTTGTCCAGCAAGCACTTTACCAAATGTGCCATCAACATCTCCCCAGCTCTGCTTTCCTTGTTTTAAATGTTATCTTCTAAAAGAACTGACATCGCACACATGCCCCCCCACACGCAATATGCAAAAAGGGAAACTATATGTAATTTGCAGGTGGATTCAAGCTTAAGATTTCGAGATTCTATTCAAAGCTCTCTCCTTCAAAAGCTGTGAAAGCCACAATTGAGAAGTTTCATATTTACCTCAATCGTGCTTTTTATTCCTTTCTCTGCTTCAGTATTGAGTATGTAAATGCTTGAAGTCTCATAAATCAAAGTACTTTCCACTCAGTGCCTCTGCCTCCTGCCTGGCTGCCTCTGCGACCTCACAATTAGACACCGGGTATTAAAATGCAGGCACACGTAGATTGTGATTCCGAAAGATTGTAGGTCATTGGTTGCCCTATCAGATGGGAACGGAGTGAAAAGGCACTCCGGAAAATGACTTAAGGTGATAAAAAATTTACACTTTCAAATGTCTGTGCTAATTAGCAGAAATATTTATTAGCTGCATTGTAACTTCCAAGCAGGGTCTCAAATCCAAGTCTGCTCAGTGCCCTCTACTGAAATGAGGGACTGCATGGTCTCTACAACAGACAGTGGCTCGCAGCCTCTGGCTTTATGATTGTATTTTCACTCTTTATTGTATTTCATTTATTTGTGTGTTTATGGATGTGCATACATGCATGCCACGGCAGAGGACAACTGGTGGATTTAGTTCTCTCTTTCCATCATGTGGGTCCCAGAGACTGAACTCAGGTTGTCAGGAAGGGCAGCAGGTACCTTTACCTGCAGAGTCATCTCACCAGCCCTTAGCTATTTATTTATTTGTGAGATGACGGGGTCTCAAGTATCCCAGGCTGGCCTTGACAGCTTGCTTTATAGCTGAGGATGACTTTGAACTTCAGATCCTCCTGTCTCCGCCTCCCAGGTGCTCTGGAGCCACCCACTTTACGCAGCAGTTGGGATCTCACTGGGGGCTCTGTGCATACAAGGGAGGCACCCAAACAACTGTGCTCCACCCCCAGCTTCTTTCCTGGATATTCAGGTCACTAATTGCAGCATGTAAAACGAGCCTGTTTGGCTGGGTAGTGGTGGTGCACGCCTTTAATCCCAGCACTCAGAAGCAGAGGCAATGGATCTCTGAGTTTGAGGCCAGCCTGGTGCACAGAGTTAGTTCCAGGACAGCTAGGGCAGTTACACAGAGAAACCCTGTCTCTAAAAATCAAAAAACCAAAAGCCCCAAGCATGTTCAAGTCACTGACATTTCAAATGCTAAACCACTTCTTTTGAGACAAGGTCAGAGGCACCCCAGGTTGGCCTTGACCTCCATATGTAGTTGAGAATGATCTTCAACTTCAGATTCTCCAGTCTCACCTCCAACTGCTGGACTGCAGGTGTGTGCCAGCACGCTGGATTGTAGGTGTGCACCAACACACTTAGTTTTGTTTGGCTCAGGAACAAAACCCAGGGCTTCCTGCAACTGTAAAATCTGATAATGGAGCCACATCCACAACCCTAAATGACTTCTTTAAATTCTTAGTCCCCTGTCATGTTTTCCTCTCTGATTACCTGGCAAAGAAACCTCATTTATAAACAGTTTTACCAAGCATGCTATTCCTCACAAGCATGCTACTCCCCTACACAATTACAATGGACTTCCATAGCATGCTATGACTCCTAAATTCCTTAACAAACTTCCACACTGATATATGGATGTATGTATACATATATAACATATATACTGCCAAAGACCCTCAAAAGCATCTCTGATTCATATGCTAAGCAAACATTAATAATATAAAAATAAAAGTGGCTCACACATGCATAACAGTCCAAAAGTGTATATGTAGATATCACATATATGTTAGTGCTGGGATCAACCAGGGTCTTGCCCATGCTAAGCAGATTCTTCACTAAGCTATGCCTCCTGCCCCTCCAAAGTAAGTTAATATTTGAACACCACATTTAAATTCATGCCAACAAAAATAATTCTGTATCTTTTAAAATAGTATGAACAATTGGTTACCGTATTTGTAATTTCTGAGTGGCGGAGGCAGGCTGGTCCTCAAAGGGACATCTGCAAGAGAGAATGATGATTTTTCATTACAAAATATTCAGATAGGACGCCAAGTCTTTCAGTCCTTATATAAGGAAACCATCACTGAGACGCTGAGCTGGTAGCCACTGATCCAAGAAGTCAGAGAAACTATTGGAAGAACGATTGCTGGGAACGGTGAGAAGGCACAGTCAGAAAGAGTAGCTGCTTCACAAGCATGAGAATCTGGACAGAAAATGTCAGAGGACGGTGGTTTATTTCTGCATCCCTAGCCCCGGGGGACGGAACCCCTGGAGACCAGCAGTCATCCTAGCCCAATAAGTGAGCTTCAGCTTCCGTGACAGACCTTTCCAAACAATGAAGGTGGAGAATGAGCAAGGACAGATATTGGACACTGACCTCAGGCCTTCACACATGTGTGCTCTCTACATGTGCACCTGAACATGCATGTACATACATGAGGTCCTGGGTTTCCATGCCAGCACTGCATAAATTGGGCATGGTGATACACATTTATAATCCTAGACTTGGTGAAGTTAGGGCAGGCAGTGGATAAGAAGTTCAAGGTCATCTTTGATTACACAGAAAAGTTCAAGTTAGCCTGGGCTACACGAGATCTTGTTTTTCTCCAGATTTATTTATTTATTTTTTTCTGAGACAGGGTTTCTCAGTAGCTTTTGGTTCCGGTCCTGGAACTAACTTTTGTAGACCAGGCTGGCTGCGAACTCACAGAGATCCGCCTGCCACTGCCTCCCGAGTGCTGGGATTAAAGGCATGCGCCACCACCGCCCAGCTCCAGATTTATTTTTACTAATATTTATTATGTGGGGGAGGGTATACACACATGACTGTAGGTGACGTCAGAGGCCTGGGGGTTGGATTCTGTGGAGCTGGAGTTTTAGGCAGTTGTGACTGCCCAACATGGGTACTGGGAGCCAAAATTGTGTCCTCTGGAAGGACAAGAAGAGCCCTTAGCCCCTGAGCTGTCCCCCAAGCAGTTTCTTTTTTTTTTTTTACTTATTTTTTTTTAATTTATTTATTTATTAAAGATTTCTGTCTCTTCCCCGCCACTGCCTCCCATTTCCCTCCCCCTCCCCCAATTAAGTCCCCCTCCCTCGTCAGCCCAAAGAGCAATCAGGGTTCCCTGCCCTGTGGGAAGTCCAAGGACCACCCACCTCCATCCAGGTCTAGTAAGGTGAGCATCCAAACTGCCTAGGCTCCCACAAAGCCAATACGCGCAGTAGGATCAAAAACCCATTGCCATTGTTCTTGAGCACCAAACAGAAATCTCAAGGTCCAAATCAGGAGCAGAAGGAGAGAAAGCACGAGCAAGGAACTCAGGACCGCGAGGGGTGCACCCACACACTTAGACAATGGGGATGTTCTATGGGGAACTCATTAAGGCCAGCTGGCCTGGGTCTGAAAAAGCCTGGGATAAAACCGGACTCGCTGAACATAGCGGACAATGAGGACTGCTGAGAACCCCTAAAAGACAGATAGTATGTAGGCTAGAAGGAAGGGAGATGAGGAGAGGGAGGGAGGAGGAAAGGGGAATCCCTGTATTTAATGTTTTGCCACTGATGGCAAATCAGAGGGTGTACTCCCCGAGAGTGATCAGGAGAAGAATTGGCTCTGATGTTACAGTATGTGGAGACACAGAGAGATGGGACCAACACACTTTCTTTGTATCTCAGCTCCACTGCCGAGTCCACTGACAGCCCCGTGGGTACCAGCTCCGTGGACGTTGCTATAGCCATGCTGCTTGACCTAAAATGGCTCCATTCTCTGCTAACTCATAAATCCCTGAAGATTAAGGCACCATGGACTGTCTTCTCAAGTCGTGAGCAGAGACCACAGTCTGCTTCTCTCACGTGTAGTTGCTATCTAAAAAATCACCTGCAGCATGTGGCAGGCACTCAGAAACCCTTGAGAAGGAGAAACACCGTAAACCCCTTCGCCTGGCAACCTGTGAGCACCAAGGCTCCAAGGAGGCAATTAGTGATGCCCGGTGGTTGTGGGCTAGAACATCTTGTACCAAAGATGAAATTCTTAACATACATGTACGTGAACACATGTGCACACATGCCAGGACTATCACCTGAAAACCAAACGCCAGGGCTACAACAATGTAAGCAAGTTAATATAAATACAAACACAAATATAAATAAGCTCATTATTACATACAGAAAAAGGGGAAATGATGGGGGAGAGTCTTCTGTTTTGTGTTAATTTCATTGGTTAAATAAAGAGACTGCCTCGGCCCTTTGATAGGACAGAAAATTAGGTAGGCGGAGTAGACAGAACAGAATGCTGGGAGAAAGAAGCCAAGTCAGGCAGTCGCCATGATTCTCCCACTCCAGACAGACGCAGGTTAAGATCTTTCCTGGTAAACCACCTTGTGGTGCTACACAGAATATTAGAAATGGGTTAGATCAATATGTAAGAGCTAGCCAATAAGAGGCTGGAACTAATGGGCCAGGCAGTGTTTAAAAGAATACAGTTTACATGTAATTATTTCGGGTAAAAACTAGCCGGGCGGCCGGGTGCTGGGAAGTGGCCCTCTGCTCTTACAACAATTATTAACACATACAGAGAGCCCACCCTCAGGGCAGGAGGGGTAACTCCCTGCACTCCAACTGTAGACTGTGCACAGAAGGAACTTCCGATCCACGGGCCCCAGGGCCGGCCTGGACTCAGCTGGTAGAGTGCTTTCCTGGCCGGATGAAGCTCTTGGTTTGATGTCTAGCACAACACAGAACAAGAGAAGTGATCTACGCCTGTAATTTGAAAAGTTGGGAGGTGGAGGCAGGAGGAGTGGATGTTCAAGGCCATTCTCAGCTTCATAGCCAGTGTGAGAACAGACTGGGGTGAGTGAGGCCTTTTTTCAAATAGGGGGGGGGGGAAGCAGGAAGGGAAACCAAAAGTACAGCCTGAAAAGAGGGGGGAAAAGCACAACTTTACAGAGACAAAGTGTCACACTGTGGGGTCCACACTAAGGCATGAGGAAATCAGATGTGCTCAACAGGACATGAGGAGGGTGAAGGGGTCTCCATGATCTGCCTCGCACAAAGCTAGAACCCCACCTCATAGAGACTTCCCAGCAAACTCAAACCAAAGAGAATCCTCCCATAGGCCAACCAGTCCTCAGGACTTCCAGAAGCATGCCAAGTCTGAGTAGCTGTCAGTCAAGAGGAGCCTGAGACATCAGACAACCATGGACCCGGTAAGAAGTCGGCTAGAAAACACATCTGCCACAGTCCGGATGACCTGGGTTTGATCTCTGGGACCCATGTACAGGTGAAAGAAGAGAAATGACTCCACAAGCTTGTCCTTTGACACGACACAGATGCATGCACACATGCACACATGCACACACACATCATACACATACTGTACACAGCAATAATAAGATAAGGTTAGAAAACAAAACCATGATAATGAAGTATGAAGTGGGATCCTGCCTGGAAACCTTGAGCAAGAAAACAAACAAACAAAAAAAGAAATAGGAATAAATTTTAGTCATTGCTGATGTGTTCGTCAGTTCATAGCTGTAGCCAATGTAGTGTTCTAATGAACAATGTTAAGAGAGGAAACTGGGGGTATTAAATGCAAAGAGATATGAAAAGATAAAAAGGAAATGTTGCGGTTAGAGAGATTTCTCAGTCAGCAAAGTTCTTGCCACATAATCTTGAGTTCCCAAGTCCAATAACAAGCATCCATGTAAAGAGGGGTGTGTGGCTGTGCATGGGTGTGACCCAGCATTGGGGAAGTGGAGCCAGGAGGACCCTGGCCAGCTAGCCTAGCCAGTGAGCTCCAGGTCATATAAGGAGCGACTCTGTCTCAAACAAACAACAACAAACAAACAGAGGGTAGGAAGATGGAGAGATGGCTCACTGGTTGAAAATGCATTCTGCTCTTGCAAAGGACCAGGGTTTGGTTCCCAGCACCCACATCACGTGGCTCCTAACAGCCTGTAATCCCAGTTCCAGGCAGTCCAGCTCTCTCTGGCCTCCACAGGCAATTGCACACACATGGTGCACACAAACTCATATCGGTGCACACACACACACACACACATAATAATAATCCTTTTGTTAAAGCAAGGTAGATGGCACTTGAAGGACACCCAAGGGTGGTCCAGGAGGATCCATAGGGCACAAGCCCCATATACATATATACATGAACACGTACCAACATGGATATGCACACACATGCACGGGGGGAGTGAATCTTACAGTATTAAGGCTACAGTGCCCCCTCGGGAAAGCAGGCTGCTTCACAAAGCAACACTGCCAGGAGTAAAGGGACATAAAGAAATCTTCAGAACGTGAAAGCTGGACAAAGCCGTCACAGTTCGTCACAGAGAATGACCTAACATTCAGAAAGTAGGATTTGAAATCTCAGAAAATATCAAAATGTTTCTAAATCAAAGACTATTTGAAATCTCATCTCATCTACATAATTGGTTTCTGCACTCTTATGATGCTGCTTTAGAAAACCAGCCACTTACATAAGGTATCATGGTAGTTCTATAATATAATATATATATATATATATATATATATATATATATATATAATATATATATATGAGATTAAGGAGACCTACAGCTGAAAGATCCTGAGAGCTGGGTGTGTCTAAGGATTCCTATATAAGCTTCCCCTGAGCGCAATAAAGGGGGCATTGGCATTCTTTTATCAAGGATGACCCGTGTCCACGTCTCTGTCTGTTTGTGTGTCTGTCTCTGTGTTTTTAGGTCTTCACCTTAGTTCCCAGCTCACGTACCATCTTGCAGTGGTACGGGTGCTATGGGACTGTCAGTTTTTACAGGGCAGGAACAGGACCTTTTGGCTTTTAACATGTGGTCCCATCAACTTTTCAGAGTTCTCCAGGACCTCAAATCAGATGACAGGCTTGGACACAGAGTCCACAAGCTCAAAGGAATCCATACCCTAACAGGTCAACAGGTCTGTTTTGTTTTGTTTTTGTTACTAAGTCTCCTGTTACACAGCTGGCCTCAA